CAAAATACATGGTTCCCAGCAGATCTTTAATTTTTCTCAAGCTTCTCGCTATCTTGGATATTTTCATGGCAGTATAAATTTGGAAAATCAGATCACCCATTAAAACCTCCTCCATTTCAAAGGAACTCCTATGTCAAATGGTGGCTCCAATTTGATGCTAGCCGAGCAAGCTCGCAAGAAGTAAAAAATTGGTTTACCTCCAACACAAAATATTTGAAAATAGCTGACCCAGAAACTTCATTATTTCTCAACCAGAAAGCAAAAATCACAACCTCATTAGTAGCTGCAAAGACCAAAGATAGCTTTGCCAAGAATCTTGAAGAAATCTTGGCTTTACTCAAGAAGGAAGGAGAAACTTCAAAGTCCTCCTTACCCAGCTCGTCAGAATCTACAACATCTGTAGATGAGTTCTACTAGAATGAAGATGACTATTTTGGAGTAAATCTACCAGACATCTAAAATTCTCTAGGTCCATAAGATAAAAACTATAAGATAAAATTATATCTAACAATCTCTAAACTACGTGGAAGCTTTGAAGTGAAGGAAGAGATGGGAGGGAAGTAAATAAAGGGGGTTTACTTTCCCACTGTCAAGAACTAACTCTCCCGAAAGCTTATGTTAGTGTTAGAATTAAGCACATGTAAAATAGATATTGTCACATGTATAATACAGATTAGTTGTTACCGAATACCGATTCTTAGTTGATTAGGTAATTAATTCCTGTACACTGCTAGCCCTTAGAAAGGAAGGGGAGGGAAGTGACAAACTTAGTATGAAAGTTTTTAAACAAGGGGAATGAAAGAGAAATCACTTATTTGGGCCAAGATACTCACGGGAAGAAATCATCAACTTTAAGAGGCCAATACTCATTAGCTGCATATTTTGCATCAGTGTAGATAGATGGTGTTGAATATAATGCATTGACACGTCCATCCTGAGAGAGTATGCCACAAAAAGCAAGAACAATTTTAACTCAACAGAGCTAAACCAGTAAGTCACATCAAAGATGCAAAACAAGGACTCCAGAGAAATATTTTAGACAGAACTACCTAGAGTACCTGGTTGACGTAGTGAATAAACTTATCCATCTGCCTGAACCATGAATTGGCATATTGATAACGGAAATCTGTCCCCATTGTCCACATAATGTGATTTGTTTTGGTCACATTAGCCTAGAAACAAGTAGAAAATTTAGTCTGTAACTTCCGTGACATACGAATACTCCATTTCAAAGTTCAAACAACATAAAAATAATTAAAAATATGTATGAAAAATAAATATTTACTCAGTAAATTTACTGTGTTATCAGGCTTTTCAAAAGCTTTGGTGTTATTGGTTCTCTATAAAAGATACCATGCAAATGTATAGAAATTTAACTAAAAGCTACAAAATTTGCTTTTGAGAGCATCTAATAAAAGTACAAAAGATGGTTATTAAAATTTAAAGAGCAAATGTTTAAATAGGGAAAGGAAAGCTGTTACAATTAATAGAAGCCGAAGTTTTTGGGTAATTCATATTCTTTATCAACCATGGCTGCTCTAAGATTCTTCTGCTAGGAGTCAAAAAGATCCTGTGACAATTTCAAAAGCACAAGAATTTCCCTAAAAAATATTTCCCGTCAAAACATGCATATTTTTGGGCTTTTCTGAAAAAACAACAAAACAAAACGCCATTGCATTCCTAGTTACTAATTAGAGTATAATTTTCATTTTTAAACCTCAATTTAGCATTTGAGCTGTCAATATAGGGAGTCTTATATAACAAAAGGAAGAGGTTCAATTGTCAGCCAGACCTCACCTGAGCTAAGGCTGCAGATACAAAGTCGTTGACCCTTTCTTGAACATTATAGTCAAAAAGTAGAATGTCATCCTTCAATTTAATTTTACATGAATCTTAGAAGAGGAGAAAATAGAGTATTAAACATATTCTTCAAGCAAATTTTAAATAAATAAAAGAAGACTACTTGAATAGGAGGGGAAACATCATTTATCTCAAACGTGAAACCATCAGGAGGATCATAATGCCTAGGAAATATCCCAGTAAATATCTGCAATGAAGTTTGCCACAAGAATAATTCATGTAAGAACTAAAGTCTAAAAGAAAGAAAACAGTAGAAACAGAATCATCAGGCAACTAACTTGTGAAGAAGAACCAAGAGATCTGGAACCCCGCCAAATAAACTCTAGAGTCTTCTCCTTTAATCGCTTGGCTCTGTCTTGGTAATCAATTCTAGCAAAAAAGAGTGAATCGAATCCTAGCTGCAGCAATGATACAATCATATAAGATTTGCAAATTCATAATGACGTGCTACAACTTCAATATGATTGTGTGAATGACTCCACATATAATAGTACAATTTTCAAGTGACTATAAGTACAGATAAGTTTCCAAATGGTTCAATTATAATAAACATACCTCAGCACCAAGCAAATAAGCCTGAACTGCAGAATGGCCAAATGGGTCAATCTGCCAACCAACTCTTGGCACTTTACCAAATTCCTCTAGGATAAATTGATGTCCGAGAGTGGTCTGGTCAATTAGATCAATGTAATGCGGGGTAGCTTCATCATGCATACACATACCCCCATTTCTTCAAAAACAAAATTGGGAACCAAAACAAAAAATAAAAGAAGAATAAGAAATTACTAATCAGATTCAAAAGTCACCAACTTAAGCATAAGCATAATTTAAGCCAATTATAAAATAGGAAAAATCATTAGCTACTGCAACTTTAAATTATAGCTATGAATTTAAAAGTAACAATTATTAACTAGCTTTGGGAAGAATAAAATAAGATAGTTTACATTACATGAATTCCAATTGACCCGAGTTGACAAGCTCCTTGACTTTAATTTTCATTGCTTTACTTTGCTGTCTCCACCATCTCTGAAAAAATGCCTACACATAAAAAAAAAAATTTTAAAATCAGCACTCAATCAAACCCGCCAATGACATACTTCTTGACCTTCAAAAATGTCTCACTTAAAATTTAAAAAAAAATTGGCATACTGGCATACACCCAAAAAGAATGCAAAACATAGAAAGTTAATATTATCCACTCCAATATTATAAAGAATGCACAACTTCAAGAGTATCACTCTTCTGAGTCTCTCAATTAGACATTCTCAACATTTTCTTTCTTCTCTCTCTTGAAGGTATATTGCCCTCATAACTAGCCAAAAAAATTCTTTCCCTGTTATTTCAAACCACTCTATTTTCATCTATTTGTATAACTGATCTTTTTTAATCGTCTATTGCTTTAGGAGAAGACTTAGGGTGTGTTTGAGTAAACTTCTCCTAAATCACTTTTAGAAGAGAAAAATATAAATAAAAAATGAAATAAGTTTCTTTATACTGATTTATAAAAACTCTTTCCTATTAGCTTTTCCATAAATCATGCATAAGCTTATTTTAGATAATGGAGAATATTATTTCTAATTTTCTTCTTATTTTTCTCTCGTGAAAGTGCTTCTGATGATGTTTACTTCAACTCAACACACTCTTAAACTCGAGACAATTAGCTAAGCTAAAAACAATGTTGTAACGGTTGATTCCTGCTTAGTGGTGACAGTTTGTCCTTTTTAACGTTATTTATAAATTAAATTACAATAATCTTAAAAAAATACATATATATTCAAAAAAAAATTATAAATTTTAATAATATAATTTATATATTAAAAACATTTATTTATTACGAATTTTAATTAATCTATATTAAAAAATAAAAAAAAACATTTAAGTACAGCAATGCAACCTAAAATAGTAGATATGATTAATTACCATCTCAACATAGATAAACTTGCGATTCTTGTCCTCCAAGAGCGCGGATATCATAGAATCCAGCACGTTCTGCACACATGCACCCTGCAACCAGAAATCGCCACAAAATTTTCGAACCATCAATCACTAACTTTGCAGCTAAAAAAACTAATAAAAAAAAAACACAGACCCGAATGGAGTTGTTGGCTCCAACGTAGTACTGATCAACGGTCTTGAGCCAGCCAACATCGTCGTGAGAATGAGGTACCAAGTGGACGTTTATTTTGCCTGAGACTATCCTCTGCGTCGTGTTGTACTCTATGTACTCTGATTCCGCACCCCAAATCGCCGCCACCAAAACGGCGAAGACCACCGCCGTATTGACCATCGTTGCTGTGAGTCACTGCACTCACCAAATTTGCAGTGATTTTGTGTAATGAGTTTCGTTTTATTATTACCGAATTAGAAACTGTGGAGTGCAAGCGAAGACATAGCAAATGGGCCCATTTGGGCCCATTTCATCAATAATCTATATTTTTCTTTCCAGATTATAATCTATATCTATATCTATATTTCATATTAAAAGAAAGTATGAAAATGCTAATTGAATGATTGATGCAATTTTATTTTTTAAACATAATACAGGTACAATCAGTAAACGCATATTATATAGTTTATTCCATTAGCAAGGAAAATATAATGAATCTACAATTTATATAAAAATTTTAATTTAAAAACATTTCACATTAAATAAAATTTAATATTCAATATATAGGAGTTAATTTATATTAAAAATGTCTTTTAATGATTAATTTTTTCGTATAAATCAAATTCTAGTAAAAATGTTTATAATTTTTTTTTCCTAGAAAATTAAATACTCTTTTGATGCATATGAGTATAGTCAATAGTGACAGTGGGTGCCTTATTTTATCCATAGCAAAAACAGTGGGACCATATTTTGGTGCAGGACTTCAAGAGATACATTAACTATTTTTCATTTTTCGTTAATACAATTTGAAAGTTGAGAAAATTAAAAAGAAAACTGAGAAAAGAGAAAGATTTATTTATAATTAAAAAGCGAAGAGTAAGGGAGAATTATATTAATATGCATTGAGTTATAAAATAAGGAAAACAGTACACGATAACTATTCAGGTTTCAGCACAATTTTTTAATTTGTATCTTATTTGATGAATAACGGATAGCACTAGTAAAATAATATAAATTTTACTCTAATACTTTTTAATATTAATTATATTTTAATTATCTAAATACAATTTAAATTATTATCATTTATATGTGTTGTATATTTTAATGTATTATAAATATTATATAATATATCAGAAATATCATATTATGTTAAAATATTAAAATATATTATAACATGATTATATATATATATATAAAGATGACATTTGATATGCAATTTTTAATGATTTTATCTTTAAATTTTTATATATTAAAAATTAATCACTCTTATAAATACAAAACTTGTATTCGAAATTTTAAATTTTAAAAATTAAATATAATACTAGTTAATCTAACAAATATTTATAATTTTAAAATATTTTTATTAAATAAAATATAGAAATACATAATGCATCGACCTCAATAATATATTAACATGATAGTATTGTTGCAAGAAGTTTATATTATAAAGATAATATTTTAATGTTATTATTATAATATAAAATAACCTTGTTGCATAATATTCTTATTTTCAAACTATGAAAAAATAAGAGTTGCAATGATGTAACATTTATGATTCGCGTGTCATGTGAACGTGGCAATTCTATCCGAACAAGAAAAGTAGATAAAGATGAAAAAGTAACTGATGTGCCAGTAATCATTGCTACTATCTATAACATATATAAAAAATTATTAAAAAAAATAGTGACATTTTACCTTATACTTTAATGTTTGAAAATTAAATATAAATCTACTAAATATTTATAATTTTAAAATATTTTTATTAAATAAAATATAGAAATACATAATGCATCGACCTCAATAATATATTAACATGATAGTATTGTTGCAAGAAGTTTATATTATAAAGATAATATTTTAATGTTATTATTATAATATAAAATAACCTTGTTGCATAATATTCTTATTTTCAAACTATGAAAAAATAAGAGTTGCAATGATGTAACATTTATGATTTGAGTTAGAAATATGATACAATTATTAAGAGAGTAGGAGCAAAAGTGAAGGGCATATTAACAAGGGATAAAGATAAAAAGATAAGAGAGATACGGTAGTCATTTGTATAGTTTGTACTAGGTACAAAAAGTTGTCCTGTATTATTTTGTGTAACAAAATGAAACTTTTGTCTCGTTTATGTTTATTTAATTTGTGTTGTCCCATGATCTTTTTTGAAAGCAAACATTAAAGTAAAATAGTTATGTTGTCTAATACTATAAGTTGTGACAAATCAAACGCACCAAAAGAGATGCAATTGAAAATTGTGAGATACTGTTGTGGTTGAGAATTATGTGATGTATGAGATGAAAAACATTCTTGGTTGATTAAGAATTCTTTCATGTGACATTTGAAACGTTCGACTTATCATAAGATGATGTTGATGCTCATATGAAGAAGTCTAGTTAAAGGCTTAACAATGATAGAAATTCATGTAGAGGCTTAAACTTGTGGAAAAGTTCAAACAGAAAGGTCTAACAAATAGAAAGGTCATGATTCATGCATAATTTATTTGTGAGGTGGTGTAAGTCTATGTAGGAAAGTCTTTATGGTTTTCTACCTTGGTTTTGGAGTGTTATGGTAAGAAACCTCTATTAAGTATGGGAGATGACTACGATCAATTATAATGCTCTGATTTGATCTTGATAGATCTTCCCTAGTTAAGAATGGTTTGAGAGGGTCACCTTGTGTATGGTGATCTAGTCTATGTGCTCAAAAAATACCTTGTATTTGGAACACCTTTGGCCAATTGGTACCACATGCATATAACGTTAAGAGAATAAGTTAAATGCACCATTGAATGATGATGTGGACGATTTTAAGTTTGATGCGTTGAAAAAAGTATTATTGTAACGATATGACAAGTTATTACACTTACTATAGCACAACAACTAAACAATGAAAAATATAGACATCTTATAACTTAGGATTCTCATGCAAATAGTACCCGAGTATTCACAATATATATATATATATATATGAGAAGAGTTCAAACAACACCGGTGTTGTAACGTGGTTTAAAAAAAATGTGGCTGATTTAGTAGCCTCTGTTAAGTCTCAATTTTACCTCTTTTTGGATGAGACTTATTGAACAAATTCCACTCATCTTTTGAACTATTGCAATATAATTGTTCTCTTTTTTGTTCATTTTGTGAGCAGATATAACTAACCCAAATTTAGCTAACAATACCTTAATACACCTCATTTTTGTGCAGGTATTGAGCTAGAGAAGTGAGGATTGAAGATTCTTAGGATTGGGAATCCAAGAGGCTAAGGAGCAGAGAAGAAATTGCGCCGGGCGCAAGATGACTCGCGCCGGGCTCGAGAAGAATAGAGTCTGGAAGTCGTGGCGCCGGGCGAGAGAATACATGCGCCGGGCGTGGTCGAGACAGAGAGTGCTTGAAACTCTCTGGAAGACATCGCGCCGGGCGTAAAAGGAAATTGCGCCGGGCTTACACTGAGGCAGAAAGAGTATTTGTTAACTTTTTTTAATTATTTTCTTTCTTTTATGTTGTTTTTGGTAGATAATATACTTTTTTCTATATCTTCAAATAATTTAGGAATGTTAAGTAATGGATAATATTTTATTTGCTAATTTCATTAAATTTTTATTATATCAGTTTTAATTCATATTTTTAAGATATATAAAATATTTGTAATAAAAACAAATATTAATAAATTATTGACATTTAAAATAAATAATTAAACTCTAAATTGATAAAAATAAATAAATAAATAAAAACTATTAATAAGATGAATTTATTGATAGAACTGCTAGATTTTAAGCATAAGAAATGCTCAAGATTAGCATGGTAGAAACATTGCAAGATTAGCATAGAGGTAATACATCTTCAGCATTCTAAAAAGCAGAAGAAAAAAAAAACTAAGAAAATTAAAACAAATCAGATGGGTACTGCAATTGAGTATGATTTATAAATAATTTTAACAAAAAATTATGTATATGCTCCATTCCCCTTAATGATACTAAGTTCAAGTTAAATTTATAGATGGCAAGAAAATCATTATGAAATTTGGCACGTACCTAGGACAACTAAAATAGTGTAATCTTGTGAGATATCATGTGGGATCTCAAGCCTGTTTCACTTCAAGCCAACAACTTCCACAACCAATAGGAAAATATGCATTTGTGAAACGAACAATAAAGTAAGAACATTGTCAAAAATAATTAACAATTATTTATAGTACAATAGTAAACTGAAACATTGTTTAGCGAAAGTGAACCTACTTATAAACAACTAAACATAACTATTAACAAAGATTGTCTTTAAAGAAGAGGACATTTTTGCTAGTTTATAATTATCATGTGTGCAACATCTCATGAAGATAACAAGCTAACCCTACATAGCCCTCTACTCTTTAGCTTTGGCTTTGGAGCAATTAGTGGAATAGATAATCATGCATAATATTTTCTGTTAAAGATTGGAAAGTATTCCTCATGCTTTCTGCTAAACTATTTTCTAAAAGGCAGACTATAAGAATAACATGCAATTGGCAAGCCTAGGACAAATTGTTGAGCTTAAGTTTTCCAAGAAAGTATAAGATTACAAAGTGTGTTTTAATCTTTACTAAGGACTATTGGATTGAGTTGATTAACAGACACTCAACCAAATTTTTTGTCTTTGAATGGAATTCTAGGAGTTATTTAAAAAATTAATATCCATCTAAACCCTAAATGAAAAAAAGGATGAAACTAAAAAATCATTTGGCATTTAAGAGAAAAATAATGCAACCATTATCTACTTGTTCTGTACAAAAAACCTTAAAAGAAAAAAATATTAATCAAAATTCAAAAGTAATATCTAATAAAAGAATCGAACAAAACATAAAAATCTAGGTAGCTTATTATTAAGAAACCAGGGGAATCCGCAAACATGAAAAAGCTTTAAAAATGCTACTTACAGAAGAAATGTAATAGAAATATTACTTTTTACAAGATTAAACACCTAAAGAAAATGGCAGGTCCAGATTCTTTTGACAAATATTTATGGATCTATTTGTAGCAAAAATAAATAGACAATTAATAAAGTCCAGTGCTCTTGAAAGCTTCGGCTATTAAGTGAATACACTGTAATAGTTTTATAACTTTGAGATGAAATGTCACAGGCCCCTCATGCAAGCTTTATTTGGGCAGCACCCTTTACTTGATGAAATTTAATTTAATTATGAATAATTGGGCTTGTTAATCGATTTACATCTCTAAAGCAACAGAAATTACAGATAATGTTAACATCGATAATCAGTATGAACTGACCTGTCCATATACTTGGCCTTCTCAGCTTCCTCTCATGCTACTGCACGTGCTTCAATGACATTCTTAGGTGGTTCTGATTTTGTTTTCAAGGAAGTGGATGCATCCTTATCCTCCTCTTGTTTGCTAGCCCATGCAGCAATGTTCATTTTACCTAGTATCTAATAAAAGAATCAAACCCTATGAATCTATATATCAAGAATTATGTGGAAAAAAAAAGGAAAACTTGAGAGAGGAATATGACCAGGAAATCTCGTGACAAGAAAAACTCAAACTACTATACTTTCAATGACATTAAGATATTCAAAGTTTAAAATTAGAGAGTCAGACAATTTACCTTCAAAGTCAAAACCTGAATCGGGATCATAAACTATATCAAAATATGAAGATTCAATAGAAACCCACCATTAGTTTCATCTTCAACAACAACATCATCCCTAGGCTACTCCTCCTTCCCTGCTTTCCAATTCACACAATAAAATGTAAATGTCTTTTTGGTAAGGAAAAAAAAAATCGAAAGTAGCCCAATTCTCTATTGCTTCAACAACACAACGCCTCAATCTTCTTGTTTTCAAAACTTCAATCGATCAAAAAACTCGAAATCGCATTTCGCATAAACACAAAGAAAAATAGCACATTCGAAACAGATTCAAGTAACAAACAAGAAAAATGAAATTAAAAAAAAAAATGGTTCATGAAAAGGCATGCGTCCAAACTAGAGAGTAAAGAAAATAAAGAAGCACCGAAATTGTGAAAAAGAAAGTAAAAGAGAAAATCAGAGAGATTACAACTACCAAAAAGTATGGGATTGGAAAGGCCTCAACGAGAAGATGCTCCATCGACGCATGTTAACTTTGGTTAGGGTTTCGGGTCAAAACACAGTTTTGAAGAGTCAAGAGAGACGAAGGTGAATACCGTGTTTTTGCTCACTCTCTTTGTTTGTTTCTCGCTTGAATAGGGAATGAATTGTGGCAATTTCTTCCCTCTATTTTTTTTTTTGAATATCTTTGGTTGTCTCATGTTTACAACGGAGTTTAAATGTGTTATAGTGTTTAGACTATGTAATCCAAGCTATCAAATCATATTACTTTTCCTTAAGGAACTGAAAAGAATTTTTTATTGGAAAATAATTTTTTTTAAAAATTACAAAAGTAGACCCCCCCTCCCCTTTATTTATCAAACTAAAACTATTTACTGTGCAAGTTTATAATTCGGTCTCCAGAGAATCAAATTTTGACCATAGTAACACCAACGATGTTTTGATGATTACCGAAATTCCCGAATTCTGGGCAACCTTTTTTTTTTTTTTTTGATATATAGATTCATAGGGTTTGATTCTTTTATTAGATACTAGGTAAAATGAACATTGCTGCATGGGCTAGCAAACAAGAGGAGGATAAGGATGCATCCACTTCCTTGAAAACAAAATCAGAACCACCTAAGAATGTCATTGAAGCACGTGCAGTAGCATGAGAGGAAGCTGAGAAGGCCAAGTATATGGACAGGTCAGTTCATACTGATTATCGATGTTAACATTATCTGTAATTTCTGTTGCTTTAGAGATGTAAATCGATTAACAAGCCCAATTATTCATAATTAAATTAAATTTCATCAAGTAAAGGGTGCTGCCCAAATAAAGCTTGCATGAGGGGCCTGTGACATTTCATCTCAAAGTTATAAAACTATTACAGTGTATTCACTTAATAGCCGAAGCTTTCAAGAGCACTGGACTTTATTAATTGTCTATTTATTTTTGCTACAAATAGATCCATAAATATTTGTCAAAAGAATCTGGACCTGCCATTTTCTTTAGGTGTTTAATCTTGTAAAAAGTAATATTTCTATTACATTTCTTCTGTAAGTAGCATTTTTAAAGCTTTTTCATGTTTGCGGATTCCCCTGGTTTCTTAATAATAAGCTACCTAGATTTTTATGTTTTGTTCGATTCTTTTATTAGATATTACTTTTGAATTTTGATTAATATTTTTTTCTTTTAAGGTTTTTTGTACAGAACAAGTAGATAATGGTTGCATTATTTTTCTCTTAAATGCCAAATGATTTTTTAGTTTCATCCTTTTTTTCATTTAGGGTTTAGATGGATATTAATTTTTTAAATAACTCCTAGAATTCCATTCAAAGACAAAAAATTTGGTTGAGTGTCTGTTAATCAACTCAATCCAATAGTCCTTAGTAAAGATTAAAACACACTTTGTAATCTTATACTTTCTTGGAAAACTTAAGCTCAACAATTTGTCCTAGGCTTGCCAATTGCATGTTATTCTTATAGTCTGCCTTTTAGAAAATAGTTTAGCAGAAAGCATGAGGAATACTTTCCAATCTTTAACAGAAAATATTATGCATGATTATCTATTCCACTAATTGCTCCAAAGCCAAAGCTAAAGAGTAGAGGGCTATGTAGGGTTAGCTTGTTATCTTCATGAGATGTTGCACACATGATAATTATAAACTAGCAAAAATGTCCTCTTCTTTAAAGACAATCTTTGTTAATAGTTATGTTTAGTTGTTTATAAGTAGGTTCACTTTCGCTAAACAATGTTTCAGTTTACTATTGTACTATAAATAATTGTTAATTATTTTTGACAATGTTCTTACTTTATTGTTCGTTTCACAAATGCATATTTTCCTATTGGTTGTGGAAGTTGTTGGCTTGAAGTGAAACAGGCTTGAGATCCCACATGATATCTCACAAGATTACACTATTTTAGTTGTCCTAGGTACGTGCCAAATTTCATAATGATTTTCTTGCCATCTATAAATTTAAACTAGCAAAAATGTCCTCTTCTTTAAAGACAATCTTTGTTAATAGTTATGTTTAGTTGTTTATAAGTAGGTTCACTTTCGCTAAACAATGTTTCAGTTTACTATTGTACTATAAATAATTGTTAATTATTTTTGACAATGTTCTTACTTTATTGTTCGTTTCACAAATGCATATTTTCCTATTGGTTGTGGAAGTTGTTGGCTTGAAGTGAAACAGGCTTGAGATCCCACATGATATCTCACAAGATTACACTATTTTAGTTGTCCTAGGTACGTGCCAAATTTCATAATGATTTTCTTGCCATCTATAAATTTAACTTGAACTTAGTATCATTAAGGGGAATGGAGCATATACATAATTTTTTGTTAAAATTATTTATAAATCATACTCAATTGCAGTACCCATCTGATTTGTTTTAATTTTCTTAGTTTTTTTTTTCTTCTGCTTTTTAGAATGCTGAAGATGTATTACCTCTATGCTAATCTTGCAATGTTTCTACCATGCTAATCTTGAGCATTTCTTATGCTTAAAATCTAGCAGTTCTATCAATAAATTCATCTTATTAATAGTTTTTATTTATTTATTTATTTTTATCAATTTAGAGTTTAATTATTTATTTTAAATGTCAATAATTTCCAAGAAAGTATAAGATTACAAAGTGTGTTTTAATCTTTACTAAGGACTATTGGATTGAGTTGATTAACAGACACTCAACCAAATTTTTTGTCTTTGAATGGAATTCTAGGAGTTATTTAAAAAATTAATATCCATCTAAACCCTAAATGAAAAAAAGGATGAAACTAAAAAATCATTTGGCATTTAAGAGAAAAATAATGCAACCATTATCTACTTGTTCTGTACAAAAAACCTTAAAAGAAAAAAATATTAATCAAAATTCAAAAGTAATATCTAATAAAAGAATCGAACAAAACATAAAAATCTAGGTAGCTTATTATTAAGAAACCAGGGGAATCCGCAAACATGAAAAAGCTTTAAAAATGCTACTTACAGAAGAAATGTAATAGAAATATTACTTTTTACAAGATTAAACACCTAAAGAAAATGGCAGGTCCAGATTCTTTTGACAAATATTTATGGATCTATTTGTTGTGTGTGTGTGTATATTGGAGTAGAAAACATAAAAGTCCCTACTCATCTCAACTTGAAAAACATAAAGTCTTTCACTAGGATTACAAAAAAACAATCATGTACACATATATAAATTCCAATACTAGAAAGTATTAGAAACCTTAAGTTGTCAATCAAGCGTCTATACAAAGCTGTAATAGATAGCATCCACAAAATGTCATCTCCGACATGGCGAACCACTAGGCTCGCCCTCCAACTTAATCCTGACTTACTCATATAACAAATATGATCATCGTAGTCAAACACATGAAAAAATAAATGTAAGCTTGTGTAAAAACAAAATCAACATATAATCTAGGAAGCAGTAAGCTAACTATATAAACATCAGTTACATCTACTCAACAATAGTCATAGTTCAACTTAAATAACATAGATAAATTTACCAAATTAACTTCACGACATTTACATAAATCAACATCTTAGTAACTTCACATATGAATAAGCAACTTATAAAAACAACATACAACTCAACAACTTATGCATCATTATACATTTCAACTAAAAATTCTCTTACAACACAAGAAAGTAGTTTAAGTGTCTTGATCATACCAAACCAACAACATCGAAAAATCTTTCTTCTCTAGGTCATACAACATATTTTTGGATATCAATCCAATATCAATGAAAAAATGATTACTTGAATGTCGTCACTTAAATTACGAAAGTCTAATACCACTATCAGGTATAATATAACTTGGGTATGCACCCATCGTGATATTGACATGCATTAACCAAGTCTCATTTGAAATTAACTTGTCAACTGTCGTCTCAATACCACACACCTCTCCAGCTATTAGTTAAGGATTCTAACCCCGACATCATACCTTACTTTATAGGTCACTTCAACAGCAGTATGGATCGACCTACCTTCTATATTATTTCAACTAAGGATCTAAAAGAAACAATAACCCTCTACTTAAAGAGGAACCTTACTCAATGAGGATTTTTAAACTTTGGGCTCTCAAATGTTTTTATTATGCTTAATTATATTTTGTTTTATTTATTAAGAAAAGGGAGTTTTGTTTTCAATGGAAGGTTATTAGAAAACTTATTAGTTTTACATTCTTTTTCTCACCTTATGCTCCTTTCCTCTAAAACTCAAGACCTCTAATGAGTAGAATGCAGAGGCTATAGGAGCACATCTTGGATATCTTTGTGCATCATCAAGCGTCTATTAAGGTAAAGAGGAGTAAGTAATCTTACTACAAGTGTGAGATATCTACAGGGTAGAGGGATTGAGCCCCCAATCTCTCATTTGTTCATATGTGTTGTGAGGAAGAAATCCAATTCTTGTCTTGAGATTTGTGAATTTGTATTTTGTACTTTTGTCATGGTTTTATTTATGATGATTGAGATATGTATAATTGATTTCATGTTAATTGCTTTAATCATGAATCCGTGAGTGTTTGTATTTCTTGTGGGAACCTTAAAGTAAAAAGTAAAGTAAAAATTAATAGGATTAATGATGTTTTGAATGTAAGGATGTTTAATTAATGGCTTAATTGTATAGTAATAGGTTTTAATTTGAGATCTTACCAAATAGATTTGGATTAAAAGTGTTAAGGGAATGATGTGAGAAAAAGTTAGAAACCCAAAAATCGTATAATATCATGTTATGAGTTGTCATTGCTCATTCAAGCGACTTTAGGCTCACTAAAGCGATCTTAGGCTTGCTCAAGCAATTTTGTGACAAAGGTTTGAGTAACAGCTTGCTTAAGCGAATTTTAGAGTGCTCAACCGAACTAACCCTCGTTTAAGCGAATGATTGGCTAACTCACTTAAGTGAGTATATGATCGAATTTGCTTTGTGATTTTCATGAAAGTTATAACCCTATATGTTAGCTTTCAAATTCCATTAGAATAACTCAAAAAACAAGTATTTAACGAAAGTTACGATCATTTTAGTGATCAAAAGTCGAGTTGTCAACATTAAACGGAAATATCATAGTTTTTGTAATTTTAAGCATAATAGTTGATAAAATTAGAACTAGAGGTCAACATAAAAATTGTCTATAATTTTCTTAGCTTTCCAACAAGATAAAAATCAACGTGATAGAATATGTATAACTCTAGATGTCACATTTAAACCACACAATGTCTTTGAAACTTAAGAAAAGAAGATAGTTTGTGAGTTGTAAGGGTGGGTTATCTAATCCTTTAAGTACTTAATCTTGAGAATGATTTGTGATACTTATATCAATATTTAAGAAAGAGAAAGTAAGAAAGAAGATAAATGTGAATGAGTTATGAATAGATTATGATGAAGATATGAAATTATATAACTTTATGATTGATACTTTGTTGCAATATGAGATATAAAAAGTATTAAGAATTAAAGTTATGTGTTTAAGATGTTGTGTGATAAACTAT